TTTAAAATGAGGATAGTCACAAAGATACTCTTCTCACTATAGGAGCGTAAGATCAGGTGTTCAAACAGAAGAGCAGCTTGCCCAGAGTGCCTTTGATTAGAGAACATACCCCCTTCCTCCAGGGTCATGAAGCCTTACCTAAGGGTCTGCTGAGCAGCTTAAAGATTGAGTTCAGCTCTCCCCTGACCCTTTGGCTGAGAGCTCTTCTGCAGTACACACCCTGCACAACTGTACCTGGCAGCCCTACATGTAAAGCGCTCAGTAAGCACCAGGCTCAAGGTAAGCACTCAATATCTGGCAGCAGCTGTGGTCACTGTCATCATATATTATCATTTGAATGATTCTGACTTTTAAGATCCATGAAGAGCTAAGTTATTTAAAACTTTACTATCTCTCTAACATAAGGAGAACCCAGGTTGGAATCCCACTTCCACCATGTCCTGGCCATGTGTGCTTGAAGAAGTCCCTTACCCATCTGAACCTCAGTGTCCTCATCTGTAACATAGAAAACAGTAATTCCCACCTGGTAGTAAGATTTTGGCTACATAATAAATATCAAAAGTACCTGCAGTTCCAGTGCCTGGAATATTCTAGGTGCTCAGTAAATATTCATTTCCTTTATGGCAAGGAAAAGGAGACCTCCCCACCATGGCTTTTTCCTTCAACACAAGCATCCATGGTAAACGTGTTCAGGAGATGAAAAATGTATATATCAAGCCATTTTAGTGAGGTCACTCAGCGTTCTGAGATATAACCTATTTGTAGGCAAGGAATATCAAGTTTGGAATCAGAAGACAGAGGGCCCAGTCCCCAAGTACCCTCACCCTCAGTTCAGCTTGTGACTTTGGATTAGTCACAGGCTCTCTGAGACTTGGTTTTCTTTTCTGTGAAACCCGGGGCAGAAGAAACAAGGGTTATTGCATATTTGATATAGCAGTGGTACCTTTCATTCCAAACAAGCCTGTGGATAACCATAGTATACAAAGCAGGTTAAAACAGAGATGCTCTGATTGAAGCAAGGGCAGGGGTGAGGGGCTGCAAATTCACCCCACTTTTTCTCACCCTGTGATACCTTCTGATGCTATTTTGAGGAAGCCTGGGGCTCTGGGAACACAATGTGGCAGCCATTGGGCTCAGACCCTTCCTGCTGAAATATTCCAAGACTCTGTGCCTGTGCTTTGACATCCACTGTCTTGCCACTCAATTCATCCTGACCCAAAGCGCGTGCGCCTGTGTGTGTGTGTGTGTGTGTGTGTGTGTGTGTGTGTGTACCACAAACAAATGCTCACAAAGAAAGCAAAAAGAAGTTCCACCAGCCATTAAGGGGAAATTACAAATGCATTTTTCTCTGCCTCCGGCACATTAATAAAAGAGATTACAAAACTGGAATTGACTCGAAGCAGGGCAGCCTCACAACAATTGGAAGGCGGGGGGTGGGGGGCGGGGGCCGACTGCTTCCTGTACAGTCATCTGATTTCATGGCCGTTCCCATGCTGGGAGAATCTGTCTGCGGCGGCTGCTGGGAGGATGTGGGTTCATGCATTAAACATCAGGGGGACCCTCACAACATGCACTGTGGGCCGGGAGAAGGATAGGCTGGGGGGAGCCACGATTGTGACATGCCCCAGCACAGCAATGCCTGTGGGCAGAGACCTGGAGATTGTTTAATGCAAGCACTGGAAAATCATTGAAAATTGCAGGGTGGGAGATGAAGGAGGGCATAAAATGCAGAAAGTGCAAAGATGTTCTAGCGTCTTGAACACGGGAGGGGCACCACGGCCACTTTGTCTCAGCAATCATAGCAAGTGGTTGCTATGTGCCATGAGCTCTAGGCTAGATAGCTGGGGTTGGTCATTGGAGTAGACTGAATTATTGGCCCTGATCCTTCACCCCGCTCTGTATCCATGGCTTTTGCCATGGGACTTTGCAACCTCTCCCCCTAGAGCGCACATCCCTCTGCACGGACTTTGAGCTTGACTATGTGCCTGGTTTTGACCAGGGTTATATGAATGGAAGGGGCAGGGTGCTAGTTCTGGGATGAGACCTTAAGAAATCTTGTGTGTTTCCACTTTTTCTCCTGCACCTCTGCCCTTACCATGAGAAGAACGTGTTCTGGCGACAGTGCCAGCCCACGGAGGATGGCAGGCATGTGGAGCTGAGCCAGACACAGCCTGCAGCTCAGAACTGTCCCACCTGACTTGCAGAATAAAGCTAGATGAAAAATAAATCTCTATTATTATTGTGTGCAACTGGGATTCCATGTCTGTTTGTCATGCAGCAACAGCTGACTGATACACTTATCTATTAAATCACTTGTTTTACTCATCTATTCATTCATTCAGGAACTATTTCCTGAGCACTTCCATGCCAGACATTTTGGTAGGCAGCAGGGATATTATGGTTACTAAGAAACCTGTGAAAATGGGCAGAGATTTTGGATTTATTAATTCAAGGATTGAGCATCCCTTATGTGCAAAGCATGGAAAAACATATGGCAATTATAGTGGCAAACACAATATATATATAGCCCCCGCACACATGAGGTTTATAGGCAGCAGATAAAACAAACAACAGAGCAGAACATTTCCAAAAGCCTGATGCAGAAGTTTGTCTCTTTCTTTAAACTAGTCACTGTCCAGTGGAAAAGATGAGAAATTCAGGAGACCATTACAATAGAAGTGTTAAGGACGAGCATGAGATACATACATGCAGCTCAGAGGAAGTGCCTCTTACAGTATGGGGTTGGAGGCAGGGAGAAGGTCAGTGAGGGGAAGAGTCTTAAGGCACCAAATATGTGAGCTGAGCACTGAAGTTCAAATAGATAGCAGACAGAGAGGAAGGGCAGGGATGGAGTAGCAGGCAAAAGGCATTGTAAGAACAAGAAGAGGAAGTCAGGAAACAGCATGGTGCCCAAGGGCCAGTACCTAAGGGTACTTCTGTGTGTTACTGGAAAATAGATGGGAAGAGAGAGAGAGACGGGGACTGAGGGGCTGAGAGGCATCAGAGCATGAAGGAGACCGGGTGCAAGCTAAGAGGCTTGAACTTGATCCAAGGAAGGGAAATAGAGAGCCACAGAAGGGCTGAACAGGAGAACACTGAATCTGGTGGCCATCTGAAAATTCTCAAAAGGTGGAGTGGTCGGGGCAAGACAAGGAGGCCAGGAGGAGGCTAAGCAGCAGTCCAGGGGAAGTTGAACGCCAACCACTCAGGCAACATGGGAATGACAAACAGCCCCACTCTTGGAATTATGGGAGATCATACAACTGGGCGTTCCAGGGCCACCAAGTTCCATCCACTCCTGCAAAAACCAGGTCTTCTAGAGGGTGATGACATGTCCCCAAGTCTCACAGCAGGTGGACTTAGGGCTGGGGATCAGAACTGAGATCCTCACATTCCTAACCCTCAGCTCATTTCACAACCCCCCTCTGTGTCCCCATATTCAATTAATCCCCACAATTCAATTAATAACAATAATTACAAGAATAACAGTAATTACTATGATCTAACTGCTGTGGGCTAGGCTCTGAGCTCAGCACATTATGTGCAAAACCTCATGGAATCCTCCCAACATTCTCAAGGGTCAGAAAGTCCCATTTTACAGATGACAAACCCGAGGATCAAGAGGTGAGGCAGCTTGAATGGAGTCTCAGGGACTATCTGAGCCAACTCAGGCTGCTGTAACAAATGCTGTAGACAGGGGTTTAAACAGCATGCACTTATCTCTCACAGCTCCAGAGGCTGGGAGTCCAAGATCAAAGTGCTGGCAAGTTTCAATTCTCAGAGAAGGCTTTCTCTTCTCACTCTGTGTTCACATGACCTCTTCCTTATGTGTGCATGGATGGGGAGGTACACAGAGAGAGGAGGTGGGGTAGGGGATGGGGACATCAACGTATGAATTTTCAAGGGAGGCAAACGTTCAGCCCCAAACAGTATCCTCTTGGAGATGACAGTGCTCCTGCCCAGCACGGTGGTGAAGGCTACACAGAGTGAGGTGTGTAAGTGCCTGACACATGGGAAGGGCTCAGAAAATGGGAATGGCAACAAAGATGATCTCAATGAAATGATAAGGATGAGGGTAGTGGAAAGAGCCAGATCTGTGCCCTCCCCTGGACTCCACGGTGTGGCTTTTGACAATGCACAGAACTCTTTAGGCCTCAGTCTCTCCAATCTGTCAGATGAAGACTTTAGCCCAGGGCAGTGGTTCTCGGGGTGTGTCTCCTTGGCCCCCGCATTGTCAGCCATCACCCTGAGCTCATTAGGAAGGTGCTTCCCCGATCCCTCCCCAGACCGACTTGGTCTGCGACTCTGGGAATAGCACCCAGCAATCCGTGTTTTAACAAGCCCTCCTGGTACATCTGATGCATGTTCAAGTTTGAGAACCTCTGGTCTAGATGGATCATTTTTCAACGTTTTTAAAGGACGTGAATGCTTTCTTCCTACAAAATTGGGAGAAGGCAGGTACGTAACGCAGATGAAAGTGGCAGTGCTAGGTTGAAGCTGCAAGCAGGGCTCCATCTGCCCTCCCACCCTCGGCCCCCCTTGGAAGCTCCACGGAGGCCGGTATGAAGGCCAATGTGATGCTGAAGCTCTCCGTCCAATGTCAATTCCTCCTGCCAACCAGAACCTTGCTGCTCCCCCGCCCACCTCCCACCTACCCTCCCTCGAAGCGCCTATTCCTGTTTACATGTTCCAGAAAGCATGGATTTGTTGTGGCCTCACAAAACCTGGTTTGTTTCTTCTTTCCTTCTTTCTTTCTTTCTTTTTTTTTTTTTTAAATAGGTTTCAGCCTGTAATTCAGTTAATTATTTCTCAGAGCACCAGTTTGGTGGCTACACAGCATAGCATGAGGCAGGGGAACAGAGACAAGTCTTCGGAAGGCTCTTTCCAGAAAATCTAATTTCATCATTGAGAAATCTTCTGTCTTAAGCAGCCTCTGCCACTGCCATAAATTTACATATTCTATATGCCGCCGCAGGAACGCAGTGGGCTCCATTTGCATAATGCCGCTGGAGGGGCTTGCGCTTCTCTTGAACCTGAATGCGGCAGGAACGAGGAAGCAATTATTAAGCTGTAGACATTGGCAGGGAGAGAGGCCTCAGATGGATTTCAACTCCAAACCCTATTCACCGTCCAGGCTGCTCATTACCCAAGGCCTGGATCCCAGGCTGACGGTGGATTCAAGGGCTGGAAAAATCAATGGGTTGCTGCCTTCGGTTTATGTCTAGAGCCAGGCTGAGGCCAGGTTTGAGGGAGCAGCTTTGGCTTTCCAGTGTGGATTGTTGGAGCCAACTTCTCCCTGTTCCCACAAGTAAATTTGTTTCTTGGACTGTTTCTTCAGGGTGCTTCGGCCAACGCTGCCCTGCCCCTTCCTTCGACAGCACCCCAAACACCTATGGGACAGGTCGGTAAGGGTTGTCCCACCTCTTTGCTGGCAAGGCTATCAGAAATGTGTAATTAAGAAAATGTTGCTGAACAAAGTCCCAGTTGGGAAATGACAAGTGGAAATAGGAATTCTCACATGCCACAGTGGTCCTGCTTAAAATCTATGCTCTCCATACTGAGGCTGCCTGAGAAGGTGAGTCTAGCCTACTGTGGGCCGCTGGTGAGATACTCCTGTATATTTGGGCTCAGGATCTCTGATCAGGGGTCGTTTAATTATCTAGGATCCACACGTCACTCTCCGTAGTTTCTGGACCTTCCAGAGCTATGGCCTTGACCTCCATCCAAGTCACTCCATGACATGCCACTCCCAACCTCAGTAGCCCATGGATGTGAATGGCCACATCTGGCTCTGGGAAGTACCATCTTGGTTTTACTCCAGTGACGATGTGAAAGGCCTCAGTGCTCAAAGATGGCCATCTTCTGGCGGGACTTTGAACCCAGCCTTCCTTGACAGTTTTTAAACCAGCTTAATTCATGAAATGCCCAGCCAGAAATCCACCCGTCCACTTCTGCAGGTATGTACCATGGGTAAACTTGCTGGACAATACAGCAAAAGTGCTAGGCACACCTGATACATTTATTGACAGAGCAAAACATCATCACGCAAAATGTGGAAAGCTGAGTGAGGATGAGCAGCATTTTACGTCTTATATTTAATAATAGACTGTGCCACTTTAATTTTTTCAAACAAACATCTTTTATTTCTGGGGAAGCGGACTTACATTTGAAAATACCAAATCGGTGGAACAGGCCACTCTTGATCTGAGGGTCGTGAGTTCGAACCCCACATTGGGCATAGAGATTACTTAAAAATAAAGTCTTAAAAAAAGACTAGCAGGAATGAGTATTATTACTCTTATAATCAGAAAATACCAGATTCACTTCTGACTGCCTTGATGCTGAAAATTGGTGGAGTTTACCCATCCAGAGATGACCCATGGCACGAAAAATGTACTCCATGCTGGTATTTGAACAGTGAGCCAGTTGTCGGAAATTTGAAACAGCAGGTTTTTTGCTAGGAAGAAAAAAAAATTATGTATCTCCACTTACTAAGAGGTGCCGTCTCCTCAAAAGACCTCAGTATTTTGTCCTTAGCCCTGACTGTCTCGTTAAAAGAATTTGGAGGGAACTCACTTTTTCCATGGTTCCATCCAACATTGAATTATTTCTCTAAGAAAAGGAGATTGCTCCTGATTAGCCAAACTTGGGGCTCTACACGCACATGTGGTGACTTTTCCAAAGGAAACTGTTTTGGTGCATAACTGGGACCAGAACTTCAGAGCAACAGATGGTCTTAAAGCTTAGAGTTCAAGGATTAGGTGTGGGCATGTCTCCTAGCCAGACCTAACATTTCTAAGTCTCCGCTTCCTGATCTGTTAGGGGAAGATAGTAATAATACCTGCTTCATCATTGTCGCTGGGAACAATAAGATGAGATAGTACATAACAGTGGAGTCACAGGAAGGTGAAATAACCTGCCCAAAGTCACAGAGAGTAGATGGCCAGGTGGGACTTGAACTCGGGCATGTTTGTTCACCCACCGTGTTGCAGGCTGCTACCTCCCATGATCCAGGAATGCTGACAGCAGGTGCTTACAAAAGCCCAATCATAGCAGTTGGTTCTCTGGGCTGAACTGGGAGAGGGGCTGAGGTAGGACCTCTTCAAAGGGCAACACTCACAGGAACGTGATATTCACTAAACTGGCCACAGCATTTAGAAACAGAGGTCAATGCTGCTTTGGGTCTTAAAGACCCAAAATTCCTCTCATTGTATGGCAGAGTCCCCTTTTGTTTGCCATGGGATGTGGCTTGTTTGTGGTGAAGGAAGGGAGATGAAGTGACAAAAAAAGCAAGAGACAGGTAGCTTAGAAAAAACTGCAATCAAACTTTGAGTTGTGCCTGGGTCATCGCGTGGCCAACCCCGCCGTTCCAGGGTGTGGTGTGGATCAGCCACATTTCGGGCTCCCTGCAGCCTTTGAGGGCAGGTCTCGGTGATAGAAATAAGGGGTGTCTATGCAAGGCACAGCATGCAGGAAGCGGAGGGCAGTTAAGACACAACAGCTCACCTAATTAAGAACTAACAATGCTATGATCACTTGTTCAGTAGAACCTCCCATAGCCAAACATGTGCCAAAACGATGACCCAGAGAGCCCACGCTTAGGTAGCTCTCCACCCACGAGAACAAGAAATGAAGACATATGTGTGTGCATGTTCTCAGCCCTCTTCGTAATAGCCTAAAACAGAAGTACCCAAATCCTCATCAACGCTGAAACCAATAAATTGTGCCATATTCCCAGAAAGGTGTTCCATATAACAGCACTGGCGCATCCAGCCCCCAGTTATATCCGGCCACGTCCTGCTATATAAATAAAGTTTTACTGGGACACGGCCCATCCATTCATTACATAGCATCTGTGTTAGCTTTTGCCTTACCACAACAAAGATGAGCAGTTACAAGATCGTATAGCCCACAGAGCCCAAAGTATTTACTATCCGGCCCTTTCCAGAACAAAATTTGCTAACCCCTGCTATAGAAAAATGAAATTGAACAGTTATAAGTTCCCTGGGAAATGTGGATGATTTTCACAAACATAATATTGAGTGGAAGAAGCCAGACACGGATGAGTACCTGTTGTGTGATTGAATTTACATCAAGGGCAAAGACAGGCAGAACTTTGCACGTTGCCAGAGAAAGGATAAGAGTTACCCAGTGAGGATAGTAACTGAACGGGGCATGTGGGAGCTTCGAGGCCCTGGACATGTAGAGCTGACTCTTGATCTGGGGTGTTTCCACGAGCGTTCATTTTGTGAAGATTCACTGAAATGTACACGGATGATGTGTACGCTTTTCTGTATGTATGTCGTTTGTCGATAAAAATTTTGAAATAAATAAAAAAAGAAACAGTGGGCGTATGTAGTGATGCCAAGTATTTTCTCAATGTATTTCCTGGACAGAAAGCTCAAATAACAGATTGTCAAGTTAGAAAACAGATAACTTTAACTTTTACACATGAGCACACATTTATTCATTCACTCTACAAATGTTTATTGATCACTCACCACGTACCAGGTGCTGGGAATTCAACAGTGCGCGAGACAGACGCAGCCCCCGCCTGCTTGGCATTTACATCACACTTGTACGTACACATGGAGCCTTACACACGCATGGGCACCAACACCCTCCAACATGGACCTGCACATGAGTGCACTCAGGACATGCATCTGTAGGTCAAGTCATTCTCAAGCAAGTACTTTTCTGAATTTTGCTCTTCCTCCCGTGGCTACAAAAATCCCCACCTCCTGTCTCCCTCAGACACAGAGACTGATGGTTGGAGCTCATTTCACCCATTACCCAGAAGAGCCATAGATCTGTGCTGGCCAAGACTCCACAGTTTAGCTCCCAAAGTTGTGTGGGTCAGTCTAACTGGTTTCTCCAGGTTACATCTGGCATTGGAGATACCTGGATGCCAGACAAAGAGACCCAAGGCTCAGAGGGCCGGTGACCTTGAACCCAAGGATGCTTTCTGATGTTCCCTCAATATCTGCTAAGCCTCCCTCCCTCAGTATGGACACCTGCCAACTACAGAGTGTAGTCACCAGAGCCTCATGACCTACTGGCCAGGGTTTTCCCACATGTGATGAGTGACATGTGCAGAGGTTGCGTATTTGTATCACACACTGTTGAAAGAATGCCAGAATGACAGAGCTGGAAGGTCATGGGCCCAATGGAAGTCCCACGGCAGGAGGAGGTGACTCAGGATTTCATGCTCAAACAAGGCTTGGTCTACCAGACTCTGGCCAGGAACCCATCTCTTACTCCAAGTGAACGCCTCAGTGATCAGGTGCCCACACTGAAAGGGAATGGCTGGTTCCCCTCTAACAGCCTCATAACTCAAAACAAATCCAGCTCCTTACTCTGGAAAAGCTTGCTGTGTGATCTGGCCCCTGCCCACCTCTCTTACTTCATCCGCTGCCACTCTCCTCTGATCACCTTTCTTTTCCTCCAAAATCCCCATCTAGGGCTTTTGCACATGCTGTGCCCTATACCCGGAGCGCCCTTCCCTCTGTGTTCACCAAGTTGGCTCCTTTCTTTAGGATTTTAGCACAGATGTCACCTTCTCAGAGAGGCCTTCCCCAATTGTCCAGTCTCAGCGAGATGTCACCCTCCTCCACCCATTTTCCCCCTGCCTCCCTTATGTGACTTTCTCCACTGCTCTCATCATTGTCTGGAATTATCTTGTTTGTCTCTTTGTCTATTCTGTGAGCCCCATCAGGGCAAGGATTGCCTTCTTGTTCATTGTTCTATTCCAATGCCTCCAAGAAGCCTGCCAGGGAGTAAGCATTTAGAGTATATTGAAGGAAGGAAGGAAGGAAGGAAGGAAGGAAGGAAGGAAGGAAGGAAGGAAGGAAGGAAGGAAGAGAGGGAGGGAGGGAGGGAGGGAGGGAAGGAAGGCAGGCCTACACTAGAATAGCTCACAATGCAGGTAACTCTTCAAGAGGCACAAGCTCTCTTGCCCACTCTGATTAAGACATCCCCGGTATCGGCAATAGCTCCTGGCTTTTTTGTATATGGAAACATATTGACCCAGGGCCGGAGGGACACTTGGCAGCAATTTGTGTTTGCTTCTCTGATCAATAGGCATTTCGGTGCTCACCCCTAACACAATCCATTGCTGATGGTAATTAATTACAGTGCCTTCCTGTTCTTGCATCTCTTGACCCCTCTTGAGGTTCATCCTTGTCCATCCTGTGCTATGGGGAGTTCCAGGCCTATAGCTGATGTCAGAAGGAGCCCTTAAAGTAGTTATTTTCTTCTCCTTCTCAGCCCACTGTTTGAATCACATAGGTCTGGACTCTGCCCTGTTCTCCCC